ATTCTGTTCCATTGGTCTATGTGCCTATTTTATGCCAGTACCATACTGTTTTAATTACTATAGCTTCATATATAGTTTGACATCAAGAAATATAATGCCTCCAGTTTTATTTTTCTTTCTCATGATTGTTTTGGCTATTAAAGATCTTTTGTGATTCCTTGAAAATTTGAGGGTTTTTTCCTATTTCTGTGAAAAATGCCGTTGGATTTTGATAGAGATTGCATTGAATCTATAGATGGCTTTGGATAGCACGGACATTTTAACAATATTAATTGTTCTAATCCGTGAACATGGGATGTCCTTCCATTTGTTTGTGTCTTCATTTTTTTCAGCAAGTCTTATTTAAAGCAATGTATAATGAAAACTATATTTAGGTTCTCCTGTGTTAGGTGCATAAGTATTTACAAATGTAGTATCTTCTTATTGGATTGACCCCTTTATCATTAGATAATGCCTTTCTCTGTCTCTTATTACAGTCTTTGTTTTACAATCTGTTTTGTCTGATATGAATATAGCTACCCCAGCTTTCTTTTGGTTTCCATTTGCATGGAATATCTTTTTCTATCCTTTCACTTTCAGACTGTGTCCCCTTATGTCTGACGTAAGGCTTTTGTAGGCAGCATTTAGGTAGATCTTGGGTTTTTTACAATTTAGCCACTCTGTGTATTTTGACAGTTGGTAGCTTGCCAAGAACTCCCTCCAAGTGTTCCAATCTCCTGGGACTCAAGTACTCAAGCCCTGGCCACCAGAGCCAGGTGATCAGGGATATCCCCTGAGCTGCAGCTGCAAAAACCAGGGCACTAGACACATGTAAGAGCTCCCCTCCAGGAGATGCTGGCACCCTAGAGTGCAGCAGAGGGAGCCTGGGAAGACAGTTCCTGCCCTCTGAGATCACTGGAAAGGTTTACAGTCACCCCTTAGATGTGTGTCTCATTAGAAGCCTACCCTCAGGCTGTAGCTGTGATGATAAGCTAATAGGCCTCTTTCAGCGCAAGACTGAGTTCCTGGGTCTCTTGCTTCTTGCTGTGCCCTAGGAGTTGTAGCTATTTAAGAACAACTTCTCTCTTGGTTACAGTCCGGTGGGACCCATGAGTGTAAGGCCCCCGTCCCCCAGAGGGAACATGTGAAGATTGCGTTCACTGGCCTCCGTTCCATGAGAGGACTGCCATAGGCCCCTCTAAGTGTGCCAATCCAGAAGCCTGCTGCTCAGGCCAGAGCTCCAGGAGGAGCAGAGGCCTCTCTCTCAAAAAGGCTGGGGGTGTTTCAGCCTCCTGTCTGTGCATGCCCTGGGGGTGGTAGCCTGCTAAGAACCTTCTCTCTGATTGTCACAGTCCCATGGGACCCAGGAACGCAAGCCTCCCTGGCCTCCAGAGCCAGGTGTTAAGGGGTGTTTCCTGAGTGGCAGCTGCAAAAACGAGGGCACCAGATGTGTTGAAGCCCTCCTCCTGGAGATACCGGCACTCTCAGTGCACCAGGGAGAGCATGGAGGTGGCACCCCCTAGCTGGAGCAAGGCAGAGCAAGGAAGAGCATGGGAGGTGGTGCACCCCAGTCTCCTTCCCCCATCAGTACCCCTGGCCCTCAGACCAGCAGTTTAAAATTAGCAAATGAGTCTCCAATGTAAAGTCTGGGCGCTTTTCAAAGGGCCGCTTCTGCTCTGGGCCCTGGAGTGGATGAGTCTGCACATGAGCCCTAAGAGCCATTTCTCAGTTCGCCACTGCTCTGCAGGGCTTGTGGCTGTGAGCCCCCTTGGTCTTCAAAGCCAGATGTTTCGGGGGCTTGTCTTTCAGGTGCCAGTATTAAAAGCTGGATGCTTGATAGGAGGTACGAAACCATCACTCCTCAGGGAGAATCTCTGGAGTTTGAGTTCCCTCCCAATTGTGGGTTGCCGCACCAGGGATGGGGTTTATGGCAAGATTGTGTCTCAGCCTTTCCTACCTGCTTGGTGTGATTTCTTTCTCATCTGCCAGATGTGAAGGGGTTGCGCTGCCATTTTTTAGGTTTTTTTCAGAGAAATTCTTCCATATATAACTGTAGATGCAGTATCTGTGGGAAGAAGTGAATCCAGGATGTTCCTATGTCACCATCTTGAACCAGAACTCTTTTTTTCCCTAATAGGACAGAGAGATATTTATTTCAACAAAATTATAGAGTAAAACTACAAAAAAACAAAAACATTTGACAGTCAGACAATTTTGTAAGGAAGAAAGTTAAAGGTAATCAGCATAAGAACAATAAATTATAAATATCTGTTCGTATATTAATGGGGAAAAATAATCAGGAGAAACCCAAGAATACTTTTAAAATACGGCATCATTGCCACAGCACATGAAAGCATTTCCATAAAAAATTAACAGTTTTCACTTGGACATTTAATTTTTTCACCCTCTTTGAATTTACATACTGAAACTTGATGTTTTACTGTGGTTTTCACTTGCATAGAATATCTTTTCATCCCTTCCCCTTTACTGTGTGTGTGTCCTAAGCTGTTGTGGTCTCTTGTTGGCAGCTTATATTTAGGTCTTCTTTGTATCCATCCAGCTGTGTACCTTTTGATTGGTGAATTCAACCCATTTACATTTAGAGTAATTACTTATATGTAAGGACTTACTAATGCCATCTTATCAATTGCTTTCTGGTTTTGTATTTCTATGATTTCTTTTCCTTCTGTTTCTCCCTACCTTTGTAAGTTGGTTATTTTCCATGGCGCTATGCTCTGTGTCTCCCTTCTGTGTCCTTTGTGGATATGCTCTAGATTTTTGCTTTGTGGTTACCCTGGGGCTTACGTAAAACATCTTAAGGATAAAGCAGTCCATTTTAGGCTGATAGCAACTTATCTTTGATTGGCTATAAAGGCTTCCCATTTACTCCTCCCTTTTATATTATTGATGTCACAATTCACCTCTTTTTCTCATGTATTTGTTAACTTATAGTAGCTACGGTTATTTTTCCTACTTTCCTTTAACCTGTATATTATAGTTGAGTAGTTAATACACCATTGTAATAAAGAGTTTAAGTTTCATGTATGCCTAATTTATTGATTAAAACACAAGATAAGTGAGGAACATGTTGTTGACATCACTCTCCAGGAGAAACATCAGCAAGTTCCTCACATTTTCACTTCAGAAGTTCACTTTGGCTGCAGGGTAGAGAAAAGACTGGCAAGGTCAAAACTAGAAGCATGAAATGAGGGAACATTTATATGACTCTCATTCCTTAATCCGAAGATAATGCAAGCATTTGGTTTTAATATAGTATTCTGTCATTTTTAAAGTTGTTTTAGTATTAGTCTAATAGATTTTTCCAAATGGAATAGAAAAATAGTGACTACATCACATCATTAATTAAACCTACAATTAAGAAGTTAGAAATATATGAGGGAAAATTTAAAATATTGGATATTTATCATTAATGGCTTTTTGAATTACTACAAATATATTGATCTAAACTTTACAAAAGAAGGATGCCATTTATAATTTGCAGCTTTAAAAGGAAATTCATTTTGACCTCGGATATTTGCTTAAATATGGTGTCCTTTATATATAAAATGGAATCTGTCTTAGGAAATACAGTGTTGCATCTTAAGGGAGATGCAGGGTAACATTATATAAGAGTATGAATATATACCTTTGCCAACCTTCTTTCAATTGTAGTTAAAAAGCAAATACCAGAGCTACTGAAAAATCCAACTACCCTAGCAATACTTACAATATACTGCAGAAATGAATTTAACCTTCCTTTGCTACTGATAAAAACTTTCTTTGTATATATTACTGAAATCTCATTTTATTAAAAGTAGAGAATGACATTTTCACTAAATGCTCTCTGACTTTAAAATTACTTCTGTGAAAACTAGTAGTACTGATTAACATAAAGTGCATTTCACTTTAATTGGGTAGTTGAAAACAAAGGCTTATTAAATATTCCAGTAGCTTAGAAATCTTGGATTCCACACATGCTTCATAGAGACCAAACCCTACAATTAAAATAATATCAATAAGTTTACTAGATTGCCATAAAGATTTTTAATGGTTACTGGTAAGTCAGTAAAGTTAGTAATAAAAGTGTAAATTCTCATATTTGTTTTACAGATCTTAAATAGATTGTCATTGAAGGAAGGTATCATCTATACTATCTACACTACCCGTTAGAAGTGGCATACAAAATGATTTTACTAGCTATTATTAGTTTTCTTGATTTATATATAACTAACTTGTTTTAGCTAAAAAAATTTGAATCTTCTGTGCACAGTATTTTAAAAATATTTTTGGTTACTGCTTTCTGTTATTATGGTAGAAATATATAAACCGTGTCACCAGCAAGCATTCTGAAAATTATCATCCTTTATAGTTCTAATGGATATTATTTTTTCAGTAATTTTGTTGTAAATTCTTTGAGTAATGGTACAAATTAAACATGGATTATTTTGTAAAATGCTATTTTAATGATATAGAAGAATTTGTCATTTAAAGACGTGTGATATTGACTCTATTTAAATATAAACTTCATGGCCACACCTGAAAAAAGAATCTAGATTTTTCTGGACTATGGTTTATTTTGTTTAAGAAAGATACGTCTGAATATAGAATATGTCCCTCTTTATTCTTTATAAGGAATCAACAGATAGGAACAATTATTGCTGAGTGGTTGAACATTTGAGCTCTGAACTCAGACTGCCCATATTGCCTCCAATTTGCTGGGTGACAAGTTACTGAACCTGTCTTACCTTTGATTGTCTCATTTAGAAAATGAAGTTAGTTAATAGTAACTGTCTTAGAGAGTAGAGAGAATTAACTGAGGTAAAAAGTATAAAATCGTTAGCATATTATTTAACAGAGAAAGCTCTTAGTAAATGTTATTACTATTAGAATTCTGTAGTAACTTTATGTTCACTAAGTATTCAGTGTAAATTAAGGTTATTAAATCAGTCACTTCATTAAAAATATGAGATTTTTATTTTTATATCATAGATAATTTTTTCTCTAATCATTTTTTATTCTAGGTCACTTTTCACATCGAACCATATAGCAATCGAGATGAAAACAACATGTACAGAAATGTCAAATATATTATAGACAAGTGAGTTTCCTCAGTGTTTATTATTACTGTTTTATGATCAATTGATAATTCTAAGAAAAGTATATTTAAATTATATTTGAGAGATTTGAATAACTTATGGTCTGACGTTAAAATTAATTTAAACTAATTTGGTAATGAGTATTGCAGTCATTTTGAGGAACGCTTCTGAAGTTCCTTAAAATTCGCTTTGTGTATGAATAAAAATTTCTCTTTTTACTGTTTTATGTGTTTGGCTATTTATGATTTTTGTCAGACTGACATTTTAAATAGATATTATTCTGTAAATCTGTAAATTCTGTAAATCTCATGAATATAGAGTTTTGTCTTTCTAAAAAGAAGGTTCAGATTATGAAATGTGAACTGCTTTTATAGCAATGGACCCACATCTAATATTTTCATTTATATTTAATCTGATTATAAGGAAAGAATCAATACATTTAATTTTGTTCAAGAATTTTACTGATAACAGTCTGTGACAGATGCCATACTCTTACAGAGAAACTTGTCAGCAACAGTGGGACATTTATCACTGATACAAAAAAAGCAGTTTATATATTCATGTAGAAAATGGGCTTTTTATGGTGTTTGTCATCATTTGTAAACCTCAGTGTAAGATAATTAATTTCCTGTTTGGTTATGTCTTACTGTATCCAGTATCTCATTTCCCAATGTGTAAAATTTAAAATGCATTTTTAATGAGTATACTTATATGACTGATTCCCTAAAGAAGGTGTACAGTGTGCTTAAACTGTACTGATTACCTTCATTTTCAACACATAAACAGTTATTGCCTATGGCAAATGAGTTGTGAATATTCATCTCACTTTTACATATATTTGTATTCTAGGTATGGGAATCATCCAGCCTTTTACAGGTACAAGACTAAGAACGGCAATGCACTTCCTATGTTTTATGTCTATGATTCCTATATCACAAAGCCTGAAAAATGGGCCAATCTGTTAACTGCCTCAGGGTCTCAGAGCATTCGCAATTCTCCTTATGATGGATTGTTTATCGCACTTCTTGTGGAAAACAAACATAAATATGATATTCTTCGAGGTGGTTTTGATGGAATTTATACGTATTTTGCCACAAATGGCTTTACTTATGGCTCATCTTATGAGAATTGGGGTAGGCTAAAATTCTTTTGTGATCAATTCAACCTAATGTTTATCCCAAGTGTGGGTCCAGGATACATAGATACCAGCATCCGTCCGTGGAACGCTCAAAACACTCGGAACCGAGTCAACGGGAAGTACTATGAAACCGCTCTGAGTGCCGCGCTCCAAGCCCAGCCCTCTGTGATTTCTATCACCTCCTTTAATGAGTGGCATGAAGGAACTCAGATTGAAAAAGCTGTTCCCAAAAGAACCAGTAATACAGTGTACCTGGATTACCGGCCTCATAAACCAAGTCTCTATCTGGAACTAACTCGCAAGTGGTCTGAAAAATACAGTAAAGAAAGAGCAACTTACGAGTTAGATCACCAGCTGCCTGTTTCTTAATGCGTTGAGTAAAGTTTATTAATTATAGAAATGACCTAATTTCAATAAATGCCTTTTGTTCTGAGTTATGGAAAGAAAACTGTCAAAATCAGTATGCACTGAAACTATTGTCTTTAATAAAAATAATTTGTACTTTTTTAAAGGTAGCAATATTGTCATTGCCACCCTTCACAATGCTGCAGTGAGAAGATGAGAGTTGTGCGGATAACATTCCCTGTGGCATGAGTTGCTGAATTTCTGATTGAAAGTGAAATCCTGCTTTGATAGTAGTTTAATTTTTTTTTTCACAACAGATAAATGCTTGTGTTACCGAAAGTAGCTAGCACACAGTTAAATCCTACTTGTATTCTGGGCCCAAAGAAATAGGATTGTGTGTATATTTGGTATGTCTATTGAAGAAAAAAGACCTAAAAGATATTGTACATGTTTCATTTCTAATTTTTTTTCAATGATTCCATCAGCTTTGTTGTATTAGTGTTCAAGCTCTATCTAGGTAACTCTCCAATAATAATTCTTAAGAAGAATAGAATCATGTACCTTAAGCTGTGAACCATATTGTGTTAGGAAGGCCTGCTTTCTGCAGCATAATATGTATCATCATTGGCAGATTTGGGTTACCTAAAGCACGTCAGGTGTTTTGCATGTCTACTGTTTCTGCTTTGTATGCTAAATTTTAGATTTTAGAAGCTGTGGAAAGTTTCTTCATAAAAGTTACCTACTGCTTCTCAATTATTAAGAAAACATAATTGTTTCATAATTATTATGAAGATAAAATGCCCAAAATGTTATCATTTTTGGGATACCTTATCAATCTTTGAGTACTCTGTTATTCGTGTTACCTTATCAATCTTTAACTTACTCTGTTATTCATGTTTTTAAATTTAAGGTTAATCAGAGACCAACTGTAAGATAAGAAAGAAGCTGATACTATCATTGGATTGCCTTCTTTTAATATTTTAAGCTATTTTTACCAAGAGTAATAGAGAAAACTTACTTATTAGCATTTTAGATTTTAGGGAAATGGAAATGAAAATTCCTTTATATCATAAATTCATTCCTGAAGTTTGACTTTTGTTTAACGTTTAATGATGGAAATAAAATTTCATTTAAAAGATAATACTTTATTTTATATAATAATATCCCTATTTAAAAACATTATACTTTTATGGTACCTATCATGTAAAATACTTGTGATCAATTATTGGTCATATTGTGACAAATTAATCACCTAATGCCAAAAATGAATCTCTTTACCTTAAAAACTAGAGAATAAAATGCATTCTATCATTGTTAATACTTGCAACTAGAACTATAGTAAAAAAATTGAATATATATGCATGCATATTATTTCTTAGATATTTAATTTATCAATGAGAAGCAATAGGGTAATACTAAACAATAATACTATAAATCTTTAGAGAATAAAGGCATTCATTCAGAAACAAATTAGCAGTGGAATTTATTATAAAATAGCCCATCAGATGTTGAAACTTATTTTTGAGCAGTAGTTTTGAAGTAAAATATCATGTCTTTGAAAAGAGGCCTGATTAATGTTAAACTTATTTATAACTTAAGAATTTGCCATTTCTCGGAGAATGATCAGGCCACAGGAAATTAGTACAATATTAATAATCTACTTTCTAGAGGAAATTACAAGAATAAATCACTATGAGGACATAAAACCAAGTATGTTCATAGAAACAATCATACAGATATAACCTGTGTATTTTTTTTTCTTATGTCCAGTTAGCCATTATATGTTGTCTTAGGGATAAACTCTAAATATGTCATACCTAATCTTTTATAACATACAATATTTTATTAAAGTTTAGTTAGAGAACTATCTACTATAGAGGAATTTTTGTCATTGCTTGTGTTATATTTTTGAATCCACCATAACAGATAATTTTATGAAATAGTTTTAAGATTAAGGGAAAGTATATAGACACAAGGTCAGCAAATCCTCACAATGGATACCACCACTTTCTATCCTGCTCCCATTGCAGACATAGATAATCTACTACAGCACACTTTACCTCTGAGTTTTGTTGTGGTTTCCAACACATTACCCCAACCAGCCAGTAATAATCAGTCAGATTTCAAAGTAAAATGAAACAGATTCTGTCTTCCTCACTGAAAGTTATTCTCAAGGAAAGAATGCTTGGAATCTGATCTCATAATGGTTTACTAATATATAATTATATGAATTTCATGTTTCTTTTCTCCTGTTTTACAAAACGGTTATTAGGAGGAATTATTTCTAATAATATTGTTATTCTTTGGGAGGAAAGCTTTCAGAATCTTCCTCAGGTATTCATGACAGCTGCCTTTACCATTTGACTTGTAGCACAGTTTAGATCATTGTGATCACAAGTAAATAAGAGCAAAGACTTGATTTTCTAATTTTAAAAACTATAGGTTTGAATTCAATAAACTAACTGTTAAAAGAAAAAGCAGTGTAATATATGCAATGCATGAGTCATAATGAATTGTTTTATAGTTTAATCAGTCTAATTGTTTTGACTATATAGAAACCAAATCTTTCTTTTACTCCTCCCCTTAAGGACTAATATTGTCCGAAACTGCTGTTATTAACATTTATCTTAGTTGTATGTTAACTTTTTTCTGTTTTAAGAGTGTGTAATTAAAAGATGACTATTTTGATATATGGAGTACTTAACTTTCATCTAATAAGAGCATACATGAAATATGTCTTAGATATAAAAATTTAGTCCTTTCTATTTATGAAATATGTTTAATTTCTGATTAACAAATGAAAAGTAGTATTCACTCAGCACTCTTTCTATATTTTCTCTGAGAGATGTAGCACTTACAAAGTAGATAGCTATCAACTGTACATACTTTTTACATCTGTGAATTTGTGTTATACACACACAAACATATAAAGTTTTTAAAGAATTTGGGGAACATTTTCTTATTTTTTTATTCTTTGGGCATAATCATATATTAGCTCTGACATCCTTTAGGAAATTGATCTTCCTCTAAAACAGCAAAAGTAACAAGCCACCAGAGAACCTACCAAGTTCATAACCATGTGCTTTTTAAAACCAATTACAGTTACTCAATTTAAACTTGATGATTGTTCCTAAACTCTATAGTGCCTACAGAAAGTCTTTAAAAGTCTGTATCTGAATTTTGAATTAAGGTCAAACACTCCCATGTCCCATAGTGTAGAAGCAATACTTTATGACCAGCAAAAGTTCAGTTATTTTTATAAATATTTACAATTTCAACATGAAAAATTGATTTAGCCACAAGCAAAAGAGTGTTTTGGCTCAGATAATTCCTCTTTCAAGAAATGTACTCCAAATTAAATTTTATACTGACTTTGTTATATGTCCACATAGAAGCTAAATGTTATTATATGCTTAATGTAAGACTATTATACTTGAGAATTCAGGTACTACTTTGGCTTAATTACTTCACAGAGACTCATTCATCCTCAGGCAAATCAAAGAACTTAGTAATGCTGTTATAGTCCAACTATCAGTGAAGTGAGGAGCTCTTTACAGTGTGATTAGCTTTTGTCGTTGTTGTCATATAAGTACTATTTATGATATTAAAAGACAAAATAATTTAATATCTAATTAGCAAATAGTCATAGATAGAAAATTTACTAAGTTGAAACATAGTGGTACATTTATATTGGATATTCTAGACTTCTTTTAAAAGCATCTTATATTTTGAATTTCATGTTTCTCAATTTATATAAAAAAATAAAGTTCAAAAACCTTTTAGAAGCTACCGCACCGAAATAAATATTTCATGACACCAGTGACGTACTATGGTAAGATAATACTACATAGGATTCAACTTATGGAATATGGCTGTGTCATCATGCTTTAAGTGGTTTTGTTTTTGACTTTGTGAAAAAACAGATTAAAAATCCTAGCAAAAATCACAGTAAACAACACAAAAAGTGGCAATCTTCAGCTACTTAATCACATTTAAAGTAAATACGTTAATTATAACTAAGTCCATGCTTAAGAGTATTTCTGTCAGTTTTACAAAAGCCGTTATCAAAACTGTATGACCGTGTTAATTTGATAATAATGTCTAATGTAATGTGATCTTTACCCTGATCTTGAAAACATCAAATGCAAAAAAAGAGAAATAGAAAAAATTCACTTATAAAACATGCAGCAAATTTTAGAAATTTGTTTGGAACACAGTCACCTGGGAGTAGCGTGGCACAACTTTTTTTGTACGTACTAAATTTATATGTATTGAATGCTGCCTTTCTATACCTAATTTTTCATTACAAACTCTTAAGCCATTAATATTAAAATGGAGCAGTCTAATCTCTGACTTCATGTAAAAAGCCAACTGCAAATCTGATTACTAAATTCTTACTTGAAAATTTGCTGTGTGGTTATATTTATTAAAGTACATTCTTGAAACTTTGCTCTTGACTTTTTAGGTATCTTGTAGGAAAAATATTTAGTGACAGGCATTATATGAACAGTAGCTGAGCTCACATTCTGTTTTATTTTTCCTTATATGAGTACTATGTGTTTGTAGCTAAAGACTTAATTTAATCCCCAAATAAAATATTCTGTCAATGCTCATTATTTCCTCATTTTATTTTTTTACTTCAGTCATTCTTAAATAGAGTTTAGGCAATGTTCCTCTTAGAACATGTGTACTCTGACTCTTTGCAAAAAGGATTTGAGGTATTTTTCTGCAAAAAATAATTACAACATTAATATATAAATAATGTATGATGGAATTATAAAAAAGAATGTACATTTAAGTACTAGTACATATGGTTGACGACACACTTGGTATTGAGCTTCTGAGCAGTTAATGCAAGATGTTATATGGCTCTTATTGCCAGAAAAGAAGTGCCTCTTTTCCTGTATGAGGCAAACTTTACTTTGTCAATACGTTGTAAAATAAATTTCTCAAGTAGGCATTATACCTAGCATCCAAAATGCAAATGCCTACAGGAAGCTGTCAGGTAAGGTAATAAATGCATCAGGGTTAAGACCCTAGGGAGTCCTGGTGCTAGGGACAACTCTTACCTGAAAGGAGGAGCTGCTGGTCAGCTCTTGTCAACATTGCCCTTGTAGCTATGGGCCCCTAAAATACAGAAGTATGTCTGCCTCTGTGTGTGTGTAAATTTTTCTAACTATAATATGTTAGCAAATATTGCAAAAGATTTTTAAAATATTTGCTGGTTGGATCCAGTTCGTGGGTCACTAATTTGTGACCTCTGATATAAAGAATGTAAAACTGTATTGTGGAAAACGTCCTTAATATTTTTAACCCTCAAGGAGATTTGTAATGACTAGTTATTGTGACGATTATTGGATAAATTCCAAGTATAGAACAATAAAAGATGTCAGTGAAAGTGAATCCATGAGGGCTCTGATTATGTGATAACTTTCCCCAAGTCTTCTCTGATGCAGATCAGAAATTAAAGCACCCCAAAAAGGGAGTTAGGTGCCTATCTCTTAGCCAGTCTTCTCTTATTATTCTTCCTAATTTGGCTTTTGAATACCTGATTTGATTAATTTGCTATATTCACTGGAAGGGACCTCTGGAATGCTTTTTCTGTTGCCTATTAGATATGTATTCATGTTTTAAGTCTGGCAAGTAAGTAGAAAAAAACTAAGTAACTGGGTTTTATTCTAACACCCACTTCTGCAACCTGCTTTCTGCCCTTTTGCTGCCTGCCTGCCTGCCTCTGCCTACCTGCTCACCATTCAACCTTTCTGTCATTTTTAATCTCAACTCACCTGCCTTTCTTCTTACCTGCTTTGTTTCAAAAAGGATATTGGTGATTTGTTAGAATACATAATGTGACAATATACTCTCAGTTAAAAGTAGAGCAAGAATAGGAATACACTGATTGAGCCCGGCATTAAATGAAAACTAAATATTATGGGAAATACACTGCCATACTGCTGATGACAAAGTTAATTCTAAGCTTTTGAGTAGCTGATATGAAAAAGGGTATCTAATCATCTACACATTGTTCATGTCCATAGTATAAGATACAAATAAATTTCCCAAGAAAATTCTAGTTGCCTTGGTATTAAGAGAGGAATTTCTTCTCTTCTTCTCAGGATTCTCATGAAGAGGATACTGTAATATAATGAACAATATCTTTATCAGCACCTTCCCTATAACGTGTCAAGATCAAATTTCATAAGCAAATTTCAAATTTTGCTCTTATAAATATCTTTATAGTCTATGATTACAATATCATGCCAAAGCACAATTCTCTAAAAGTAGTTACATGTGTCTATCATCCGTCTATCTGTGTATCCATCCCAAAGAGTGGATGGCCCATGTATTCTTCAAGCAATTCTTTTTTTTTCCTTAAGAATTCACTAATTAAATATTTATTGAATTTCTGCCCAAGAGTGAAGTGGTGAAGGGGATAATCACCTGAGTAAGACACCTGCTTCCTGCTTTCAGTTATAGTTTTAACTGATAAAGCATTATGTTTTAGGTGATCCGGTTTACATTTTTTGATTCCTTATGTCTAATCAGTTATGACAGAGCCTTTCTCATAGATAATTAATCAAAATGAAAGGCAATTGAATCAATTAAATATCTATTAATTCCAGGAGGGAAAATGAAATTAGTTATATAGCTCCGAATTTTATATAGAAAAGGATTTACATTTGCTGAATTGGTAGTATATTAACCACAGCTCACCATTAACAAAAAGAAAGAAACCAAAATGTTGACTAATAACTGCTCTGCCTGGTTTTCATGTTTTTAAAATGAGGAGATTGAGCTGGATGACGGCTTAGATTGCTGTTTAGCACTAAAATTATTTTTATGTTAATGGCATCTATAGCATCAAAACCAGAAGAAAAAGAAATTGCATTTCTATAATAAAGACATAAAACCTGTCAAAGAAAAAACAGAATTCTATAAAATCATGCACACCTTAACATTTGCCATCTACTCTGGATTTTATAACTCTATAATTTTTGCTTTTCAAATAATATTGTCGATATTAAATATATTAATACAAATAAGTGCCTGATACAGGCCTGAGACACAGTAATATTCAATAAATCTTTGCTATTACTGTCATTTTTATACTCAGAATAGGAATAACCCAAATGTTTTCCAATGGGAGAAAGAATAAGTGAACTCTGGTACATTCATACAGTAGAATATTGCTTAGCAGTAAAAAGTAGCAAGACGCTGGTACATGGAACCACATGGATGAATGTCAAATGCATTATGCTAAGTGAAAGAAGTCAGCCTCCAAGGACTATATACTTTATGATTCTATTTATATCACATTCTGGAAAAGGCAAAAATCTCCACAGACAAAACAGATTAGTGATCAACACTGTTTAGGAGTTGGGGCCAGGACGTTGATTACAAAAGAGCAGCACAAGATAGTTTTAGGGGGTGAGGGAACTATTCTGTATCCTGACTGAGGCAGTGATTACCCAATTCTATACATTTCTCAAAATTTACAGAGCTGTGCACCTCCTCCGCATCCCAACACACACATACACAAAACCAGATGAATTTCCTGTATGTTTTAAAAATCCTATAATGTGGTGCTACACGCTCATACAAATGGCTAAAATTAAAAAGACTGACTGCTAAAGCTCTCGTACTTTCCTGGTGATAGTATAAAACATTTCACCTACTTTCAAAAACACTTTGGCAATTTCTTATAAAGCTAAGCATATCTTTACCGTATGACCTACAGTTCCACTTCCACTAGTAGAATTTCTCATCTCTTCTTTCCTCTTTCTGTCTTCTCTAATTCGTGGCATTGTCATCATGCCATATAACCAGTAATTTAGGGTCATTCTTTGCCTTATTATACTCTCTCCTGCACTAAATCCCATCAGACATTCAGTACTGCTTCCCTTTTTCCCTAGATATTTCCTAAATATTTATGCCATTCTCCATCTGTAATATTTTGGAAGATATCCAGGACGTCATTTTTCACTTGGCCTATCATGTCTTCTCAACTGGTTTATATAACTACAGTGTTGCTTAATTCATATCAATCTCTAAACTCAGAGCCTAGGGGCATTCTTTTGCTTCAAATTCTTTAAGTGACTCCCAGTTGCCTACAGAATAAAGCACACCCTTCACAAGGTATGTAAGATGTCCCATTACTGTTCTATGCCTACAGCGACAGTCTTACGTCTTCGTTCTTTTTTTCTCAAAATTTCTGCTGTTTTACTTCAGAGGAATCGCCACACACAGCTTATTTTATATCCTCATGAAGCTCCTTTTTTTGGTGGTGTCTTTTCCGTTGCTGTTCCTCACTTAGTTTATTCCTACTGGAAAGAGGATAAGACTGGGACAGAAAAGCAAAGGAAGAAAGGAAAGAAATATTTCTAACAAGTACCTAATGTGTATCAAACTGGGGTAATTGTTGTACATGTTATTTCATACAATATTCATCCGCGTTCTGCAGTAGCTTTTATTTGTTTATTTTATAGCTAAGGAAACTATACGTAAGTTGCCAGTGTCCCACCACTGAGTAGAGATGGATCTGAACAAACTGTGTCAGTCTACTATAGGGTCAACTTGTTTGAAAATATTTCCCGACAGCCAGTCCAACTCACACAGGTTGGGCACTCAGAATACACTTCTATTCTAGCACTTACTATTTTTATTGAGATAAACTTCATACATGAGTATCTTTCTCTCTATTATAAACACCTTGAAGGTAGAGAATATCTTTGGTTTCACTTTTTTAAAGAATATAAAATAAACATAGAGAAGAGAACATAACAGATATGTAAGTTTTAAAAAAAGACAGTCATGGACCCAACACTAAATTTAATGAAATGTAGCATTCTTTGTGGCTTTGAAGCCTGGTCTCAATTAATGAGTATGTCTTTTCCACCTTTATATTTCCCTTGGCTGGCACAGAGTAGACACAAATGGAATGCTCGTGGAGCTGAGGATAGAGCCATATGAAGTTTTGCGTATAGAAAACAATGTGCTACACAGAGGTTTCTGTTTATGAACATCTCTTATTGCTATTCTTTTCCTCTTGGGCTACTTGCAAGAAGATTGTAGATGTGTTCTATGGTTTGATGGTTGTAGCCAAATAATATTTTCTTTTATATTCATTAACTAAAACATTAAATATAAAATTGTAGTTCTATTTCATAAGATTTTTTTATGAGACTTTTATACAGTCAATTTCAGGAAGGTTTTTTTGTAAAGCAAACAACAACAATAAACAAAAAACTTACATAATTGCTTACATTAAAGTAAGGCTATTGTGTTGATTTCGTGTATTAGTGGCAGAAATTCTAGAAATGTCCCAGTTTAGCAGACTTTTAATCAGTCATTTATTCTAACAGTATAATGTTTGAGATAGTCATAGTTTCTGAGCTATTTGCATAATCCCTGTGCTTTTTCCACTAAATGTTTTGCTCAGTTTAACATAGCTATTAAAACAGAACATGCACCATAAATTTTTAAAAATTAAATATTGACATGCTTTTCAATCAATATTAAAATTTAGAAAACCATGTATTGAATATTATCCTCATTTCTCCATTAATCATAATTCTTCATAAATCAATAAATCTTAAGGACAGTAGAATCAATT